TTTATTTGGAGTCATACTTTTACTACAAGAAAATGATGAAATTCTAATGAAAGCATGTTACAACTGAATTTCAACAACAACTCTAATGAATATTTCAATGTTACAATTCTCGTTTGAATCTTTCAATGAATATTTTAACAAAAATACTTTGTTAGAATTATGGGCAGATCCATGTTTGTCTAATAGTCCCGACACATGCCTCATCCCAAAACATATAGTATAAGATATCTAACAAAAATTATGGGAACATTTTTCATAATTTTAATCATGCCCTTTATTTAAAAAATAAAATTAAACGAAAGAAAGATTAATAATAAATTAATTTAAAACTCAATCAATTATAATTTAGTTTAACTCATAACTATATCAAAGATATAATATAAATGCAATATTACAACTAAACGAAATATAATAGCTATCAAAATTTACAATTTGACACTCTATTCTCTATTTTCTTTTTAATCTTGATGATAGCTTATATTCTCTCTTTTGCGACATAATTTTATCTAACTTTAAAAAATATTTTTGTGTCTTTTTTAACTATATGAGAATTCTAGTTATATATTCGTAATTTATACATTCATCAATTATATTGTCGAGTCAACTATACTATAACATAAAATATTCGTTCATAATTTTTTTTTAAAAAAATATAATATTTTTTTATTATTTTCATATGTCGAATTGAGAAAAAAATATTCTTTTCTTTTTTATATTATTGAACAAATTGTTGTTGTATTAATGTGTAAAAAAAAGTATTACATATGAGAAAGATGACAAATAATAAAAATTATAATTTATAAATTGTAATGACATTATGTTATTTTGATGTTACACTTATTAATCCACAAAAATTCTATTGTAATTTAATTTGATATCTATTGGAACAACATTATTTTTTCGTTATTACATTTTTTCATATTTATTAGCAAGTATTAAAACTTAGTTATATTTTTAATATTATGTATCAGATTTAATATTTTATTACTTTATATTGTTCTTTCATATGTTATATATATATATAACCTTTAGATTTGTTAAAAAATACATAAAATTAAGTATATAACTTTTTTTGGGTCTTATTATATCCATTATACTTGTACATCTATATAATATATTATATATATAATTGTAATTTTATCATTAATATTATACTCAAATATTAAAAAAAATATGTACATTTTTTTTAATAAAAAGTTGTATAGCTTATTCGGTCGTTAGCTGTATATTCGGCTGAATAGTTGTTATCTAGTCTCGTTTTGTTATTAATATAAGTCCTTTTTATCGTTCTGTTTCAAAAAAAGGTACGTGAGTAATGGTACTATATGAATATAATTTCTTGATAAAAATTTATTTATTTTCAGCGTATATAGACATATTATAGTTCTCTAGATATTTTGAATTAATTTTCAAGATAATGACCAATAAAAGTATATATAACTATTGTCTATCACCTAAAACTTACACCTAGAATTAATAAGAACAAAAAATTAACAAGTGTTTAACAACTCAACTCGTTTACATCAATAAGTACAAGTTTTAAAAGTTTGATCTTTATTTTTATTAACCATAACATTTTATTTATTACTTTTTTTTCATATTTTTTAGGAAGTGTTACAACTTAAGTGTATTTTAATATTATTTATCAAATTTAATATGTTTTTCCTTTATATTGTTATTTTATATGTTTTAATATATATATATATTCCTTTATAATGTTTTTTTTCCTTAATATATTTGTTAGAAGAATATATAAAATTAAATATAGAACCTTTTGGAACAGTTGTCTTATTATAATCAATTAGTTGTACATTTTTGATTTTATTATATATAATTAAATTTTTCTCATTAATATTATACTCAAATATAAAAAAATTAATTATGTACTTTTTTTTAATAAAAAATTACTTTATTACAATAATACAGATAAATAGATAGATAAGTAATGGTAATATATCGATATAATATATTGCTAAAATTAATTAATTTTCAACGTATATGTGCATATCATGATTTTCTAATTGTTTTTTAATCAATTTATAGATAATCATGTAATCTAAATTAAATCATGTTGCTCAAGCAGTATACATTTGAAATAAAAATAAAATAATATGGGTTTTAGTATTATGCAATTTCATAAAAGTAGATTAGAAGTTTAGGCTGCAAAACAATCATTCAACAATTAATTTTTCATACTATTACATTATTTTTATAGGTTATTTTGAAAAAAAAAACGTTTTTATAATTTATGGGTGTTGTGAGGAAAAACATTATCGATTTTAATTTTTTTAGTTATAGTTATTAATAACAGATGAGTAATTATGACATATGATATAATTTATTGGTAAAAATTAATTAATTTTCAGCGTATAAGCATATCATGATTCTCTAGACATCTTAATTAATTCGTAGATAATTATATGATCAAACTTAAATCATGCTGCTCAAGCAATATCCCATTCAACTAAAAAATGGATTGGATTTTAGTAATATATAATTTAATACAATTACAATAATCTTATTTTAAGTAAAAATTTGAGTATTTTAGAGTTTAGGTTGCAAAATAATTATTCAACAATTTATTTCTCATACTATTACAATTTCTATTCTAGTTCTAAATATAAGAGTTTACTTTCTTAAATAATGAAGTAGCTAAATGAAATTGTTCAACTTCGCTAGTTTGTAAGATAATGTATAAAATTATATTAAAAACAAGGATTTTTTTAAAACAACAATTCTATATCTTTTCAAAACTTTGTTGTTTAGGTTGATGTTGGGTTGATTTTTGGGAGATATGTGGAAGAAAGCCATTTCGTGATAAAGTATGGTGCGTGAATATTTTGTTTGATTTTTAGGAGATGTGAAATGTATTGTTTATTTGTATTTAATAAATTAAGCATTAGTTATTAATTAAAAATATAAGATATGATGGGTATTAGTGTATTACTTATTTGCCATTAAAAACATGTTAAAGTAAGGGTTTTTTAGGTAATTCATCTTTTTAATTAAAAATATAAATAAAATATGTATTAGTGTATTACTAATTTGCCATTAAAAATATGTCAAAGTAAGGTTATTTTAGGTAGTTCATATTTTTACAAAAACACTCGTCCTTTTAGAGTAGTATAGATAGATAGATAGATAAGTATTTTGTGCAATATGGTTATAAATTTCGTCTAATTATTTTTTGCCTTGGCTCATGAAAATTTCTGGATCCACCGTTGTGCACATCCATTGTCGTTCCTTTCAGAATCCAACACTATATGAGTATTTATAGTTAATAATTCCTTCACATTATGGAATTGTATTTTCATCATCCACGATGTTCATATTTAAGAGCATGCTTGTTTATGAAATAATTTTGCTCCAAATGAATTTTTTTATTAACTAGAGTTAAATTTGAAAAAGGTGATATGTTAGTGTTATTGGGATTTTAATAATGTATTAAAATAATATTTAAAATAATATTGATTTGATGTAAATGTATGAAATAAATGATTGGAAATAATATGTAATTACAATTATGTGAGTGAATGAATAGTGAATTAAAGTTGATGTGATATGTAAGAATGATTGATTGACAATATTTAATTATATAAATAATATTAATAAAGTAAGATTAAGATAAAATTGAGTTATATTTTGAGTATGAAATAAATGTGAGCAAATTATTTCATAAACAAACATGCGCTCCTTCCATCAAATGAATCAATAAGAAAAAACTAATAATAATAATAATAATAATAATAATAATAATAATAATCCAAATGAAATATTTTTATAATTTGATTTAACAAAACAACATGGTGCTATCACATGTACCTTAGCGCCATCGGCATTCGGCAATCAGATAATCTCAGGCCTTAAACTGCACTATCAATACACCACGCGTCGAGCCACGTGGCGTCTCTGCATGCTACGTGGACGCATATCAAGTCCACAGTAGACCTTCGCTCATCTACTTAACCCTCGCCACATCTCAACCCATTCATACGATCAACATCGCTGCAAGAAACCGGGGGGAAAAAAAAAGGAAAAGAAAAAGGAAAAACACAAAAATAAAGTAAAAATGTTGAAAGTTTTGATTTTGTGTCTTCTATCCGCATCCCTCGTGACCGCTGGGTTTTTCACTCCGAGCCCCGAGAAGGCCGACGCCACTGTGAAAGAAGGCAGCTCTGTCGTGATCGAGGTCGATGAGAACGACGGCGACACCAAAGTCTCCGTGTCTCCCAAAGACGCCGCCTACAACCATCACTCAGACAAACTCTCCGAGAAATTGGAGGAAACAAAAGAGAAGATAAAAGGCGCGGCCTCCTCTGTCCTCCCGGGCTCACATCAATCCCAAGACGAAAACGAGGCGAACGGAGGAAATACTGTCGGCAAAGTTAAGAAGACGGTCACTCAGGCGAAAGAGGCTGCAAAGGACAAGGCTGAGGACGTTAAAGAAGGGGCAAAGCGTCAAGCACACGACACGATGGAGACTGCAAAGATAGCCAAGGAAGAGGCTGAAAGAAAAGTGGAAGGAGTCAAAGAGAAGGCCAAGAAGACCGTTAACGAGTACGAGGAGGAAGGGAAGAAGGGGATGAAGGGGCTTTTTGGGTATTTGACGAGGCCGCTGTCGGGCGGGTGGCGCACGTTGGCCTCTGCCCTGCACCTGATGGGGCTGGCGGTGGCTTACGGAATGTGCGTGTGGGTCACATTCGGGTCGGGCCGGGTTCTGGCCCAGGCACTGCCCAAGGTCCAGCTTTTGATGGTGCAGAGCAGGATGAGCCCAGTTTATTTCCGGGCTATGGCAGCTAGTGTGGGGACTGCTTTGATTGGGTACACGAGCAAGCGCGGGGTGCTTGGAGGGCTCGACCTAGCGGCATCACTGGCAATGGTGTTAGCCAACATGTTTTACGTGGAGCCTCGTTCGACCAAGGTTTGTCGAAATCAATTTGTGTTTCGTGTTTATAATGTAGTGTGAAGAAAGTGGATAATTTGATGAATTTGTTTTGTAGGTGTTGTTTGAGAGGATGAGGAAGGAGAAGGAGGAGGGTACGACTACGAATAAGGAAGGGAAAGATGAAGGAGTTGTGGCTGAAGAACCTGTGGTGGAGTCGAAAACTACCGAGACTAGTGAGGGACCGAAGAAGCAGGGTAGGAGTGCGATTATGCGCAGGTTCAGTTTGAGCTCGTCTCTGCTTAATGTAGCCACACTCGTGCCCCTCACCTGGCATCTACTTCGCCTGGCTCAGCAACTCAATGCTGAGTGTTAAGAGGATATTTCGAGTACAAAAGATGGAAGCCTTTCTCTTTGTGTATATAAATGTAATGCTAGCATGGGCAACCAGCCCTCTTTGGTGTAACATATATGCGCTAGATAACTCTCTTACCAATTCTGTATTCTCTACTACTTAATATCTGTACTATATCAGATTATGTTTCTTGAAACTAGTGTGAGTTAGAGTAATGGTGCGTTTCATTCAACATTTATAGGTTGGTCTCAAGTTCAATTCAAAGATAAACAAGACGTGAAAATACTACATCTATAGGTTGGTCCAAATTTCAATTCAAAGGAGTCCAAGAGTTTGGAATGCAAAGGGGTTTCGACTCTGGAAATATGGAATACCAAGGCAGAGGAGTCATACATACGGTCAAACATGATGGATTATGGTATGTGTCATTGGGCAATAATTTTTCACCGCTTGATCCTCAGTGAGCCTTCCGATCAACACACGAAACACTCGGCTCACAAATTATATAAGTTGAATTAGTGTTTTGCTTATATAAGCTGAACTAGCACGTAGTCCGTGCGATGCACGAGACATAAGTATTAATGAGTTATTTTCACAGAATTTGTCCGTTAAGTAGCTTGTGCGATTCACGGGAGATATTAAATGAGTGGACCATAGGGATTGTCCGTTCAGGCTTAAAAAATAATAGAGTTAGATCATCTATCTTTTTACATCATTTCATCAACGTTAATTTTTTTGTCGGAACATTAGACCTGAGTCTGGTAGCGCTAGCTCGTAAATTAATTAATATATTATCTCGCTCACATGTTTATAATAATATAAATTTGATTTCATTATATATATTTATTCATTGATATAAGAAAAATAACAATTTTACGTAATCTTGTTCCTCGTATAATACTTATATTATTTCATTATAAACTTTATTGTAGTATAATGTCATTATTATTATAAGTTATAGATGTAATCTTCTTCTTCTTTTTGTTTTATATAATTAAAATATTTAATGTATGTTCATATTATTTATTAATGTAATTAATTTAAATTATGTAAATAAATTTAAAGTAAAACATTTTGTACAAACATTTTACAAAATATACACAATTGTTTTATTAGAATTTAATTTTTTTACAATAAATAACAGCTTTGAAATTCTGTGCAATTATTAAAACCGATTAAATCTGCTTTATTAAAATCGATTAAATCTTTATTTATAGGCTTGACATTAAAACCGAATTTATGAGATTATTTTAACTAAATCGATGTTATGGAATAAAACAAATCTAAAAAAATTGGTTCTGATTTTTATTCCATAACAAATCTTTAATGTCAAGCTATAAATACCAAAACAAATATGTAATTAATGTCATTCTATTTCCAGCAAACATTAATTACATTTGACTTTTCTTTATATTAAATCTGATAAATGGGATACCTTTTAATATAAGTATAGATTAATATTTTGCGCAAAGATCAACACACTGAACGCTCGGCTCACAAATTATATAAGCTGAATTAATGTTTTGCTTATATAAGCTAACTTAGTGTTTTGCACACAAGCAATCAACGCACCTATCATGCATCAAGTGGCTAAAAGACATAAATAACCACCTATTAAAAATCATTTCCAAAAAGATACTTCTTTGGGAGAATTCCAAAATTACTCTTATAAACGGTTACAATGGGAATGGAAAGTTACAAAAAACTAATTCCACAATCAACCTAATAATTAATTATTCTCTCTCATTCACTTTTCTATCTCTTTCTTCCTTCTCTCTCTTATTATTCTTTTCACGTTTCCATCTCTTCTCCCTTTTCTTCTATCCTTTTTCTTCTTCATCTCTTTCACGTGTCCCTTCTCTTCTTCTGTTTCTTCTTCTTTTCAAAATGAAGCCTAAGAATTGCAACACCAAAAAAATAACAATAAAAATGATCAGCTAATTATACAAATACATAACAATTAATAAAATTAACTAAAAAGAAACACAAATATTTATTTTGTAACTTACAAAATTAATAATATATATTATGAAAAACGTACAAAATAAGAAACAACAAAACAACATTATAGCATCAGTAAAACAACATGAAAACAACTTTATATTAACAAACAAAAAGTAACAATTTTGGATTAGACTCAAAATTGCATTTGCTTTGTCCAAAG